TCCCTCTAATTAAATAAAAATAACTAAGTAAATGCTAAAAATAAAAGGGTGAGTTGAACCTTCTTTCCTCTACCACATGCATTTGTGCTGCTGACCTTCCACTATCTGCCATAGGATGGCACACCAAGAAATTCCTCACCAGTTGCTAATACCCTAACACTGGATTTCCCAGCCTCTGGGATCAAAAGGAACAAATATCTGTTTATGAATTACACAGCTTATGATATTCAGCTATAGCAGCATATAACACACACCACTCCATGTGTTTGGAGTACAAACAGAATTCATTGCATGTCACCAAAATCTTGATACAAAAAAATTCCAATGACAATATGAGAGATATAAATTAAAAGACAACATCAAGTAAGGCTACAGACTTAAAGTCTTCTATTTAACATTAAGCACTTGAGTGCAGCATTGTATTAAGTGCAAGCCAGCACAATGGGTTTATCTTAGTAACGTAAGGCTGGATTAACATTAGAATAGTGAATACAAAATTCAGGAGACAGCAAACTTTAAATAGAAAATACTTCAGGTCTTGTGTGCCATAAGCAATCTCTGCCACATATTCTTTTTTAGTTATGTTTGTCTGGTTTTATAATCCCCGAGGCAGAGAGAAACTACTCTTATCACAAAAGCTCCAATGCAAGCCTGTGTGCTAATTCCCAACAATGGTGTAGCATTCCTTATCCAAAAGGCTCAGGATCACAAGTGTTTTCAGATTGTAGAGTTTCTCAGACTTTGGAATATTTGCACAATTCTTATCAGCTCAATATCCCTGTTCAGAAAAATACAGAATCATAAGCTCTCCATAACTTGAAAAAATTTAAGTGTCATATTGGCAGTCAAGAGGTTTTGGATTTGGGGATATATTTCAGGTTTACAGTTAGAGATGTCCCACGTTTACAACTCAACAGGATAAAAAATAAAGATCATATCATTAACTCAACTCAGTACATAAGATGTATCTAATAATATCCAATCTCTTTATGTCTTTTTTAAATTATGCATACTCTAGGAACATAACTCCCTTAACCTGACAAGGATTATCAATTAAAATTTCTCAGCAAACTTTCTTCTTAATGGAGTCAGATTTCCTATAAGATTGGGAACTGGAAATGTCTGCCTATCATTTCTATTACTACTCAATACTGTATCTTACCCAGTGCAGTGAGGCAGGGGATAAAACACTAATGACACAGGTTGAGAAGAGAAAAACAGCACCGTCACCGTAGAACAAATTAAATGATTGTGCATGCAGAAATCCCAAGAAAATACAAAGAACTGGGATTGACAAGACAGTTTACATGTACATCAGATTTATTTATCTATTCATGTGTCAGTTACTTGGTTGTTGTTACTCTTCAGGAGCTCCCAAAGGAACTATGTTAAGCAAGCTTTCTTTCATAGAGAATTCTGCATTAGCTTCTGCCCAGAGAAATGGGATTCTGGTGATCTAAGATTATGCCTTTTAGTTGATTAAGCAATTCCTTAATGGGAAATATCTCAGATTCAAGCTCTTATCCAGTGGTGGAGCCCAAAATTTATTCTCCTGCTGGTAGCACTGCTATTGTTACTTGCCTCCAGGATAAACACTGCATCTGTTCACCATGCTAACTTTTATTTCCACATGCTGGGGCTTGTTGGTGTGGCTGCTCATTACATTTTTGTCCTTGGAGATTTCCTTTACATCCTGTCCTATCATCCTATCTCACTGCTACTATTACAAGAAAGGCCTTAATACAGACTTAGCTATATTTTTAATAGTACATTGTTCTAAAGTATTACATACAAAAAAGGATTAAAAAGAAAATCCCTGGGATGTTGACAAAGTATGTTTTGAGATAGTCAATCACAGATAACTTGTTTTCTCTTTTGTATTTCTGCATCTTCATATTCTTATTTCATTTTTATAAACAAGAAGAAATAACATGCTTAATTTTTTTAAAGAAGCTGCATACAGGGCGCTGTTAAACTTTTTGAAGTATTTCTGAAAACACATGAGAGCATTTATCAAGTATGTATCTGCTTTTCAAATAGCATCTCCATTCATTCACATATAAAACTCAAGTTTCATTAACCTTATTTTTTTTTTCAGAACACAAAAATGAGACTCAGAAAGGTTGAGCAATTTATACAAGTGGCAGAACTGGGATTTACATTCAGGAATACTTATTCCAAGGCCAGTGTTTTTTCAGCATAACTATGCTGACTCCCACAAGAGAGCATTTCCACATTATCACCTGCCAGTTCTAATTAAGAGAAAGTAATTAAACAATTCTCTACTCTTGACAGCAATATTAAAGCTATTGACACTTTAAAGAAATTAATATGAACAGCTCTTCATTTGCTGGAAGACACTATTTTGAACCATAAGCTACACTCTATTACAAAAGAAAAATCTCCAATATTACACAGTCATGCTTTTTCAACAGTTATGCTTTTTCAATAGTTAATTGCATTATTTATTAGTAGAAGATAAAGCATCAAAATGTTGTTTAATGAACAATATTCTTACAAAAATGTTCAGCTTCTCTAATAATAAAAGAAATAAAACTATAGTATCAATAATATATCACATTGGCACAAAAATTAAAAATGATATTAACCAGGATACACAAAAAGTGAAGCTGTCATACATATTAGGAGATAAAATAATTTACAAAAACTTGTTACAGGCTAAATGATGCATGAACACTAAAAATTCATGTGGCTGGGATCAGTGCAGTGGCATTCAGATTAGACCTCTGCCTGTGGCACCAGCATCCCATATGGGCACATTTTGAGGTCAGGCTGCTCCACTTTCAATCCAGTTCCCTGCTTATAGTCTCAGAAAACAGCGAAGAATGGTCCAAAGCCTTGGGCCCTGCACCAGTGTGGAACATGTAAAAGGGGATTCTGGCTTCTGGATCAGCCCATGTCTGGCCCATTGCAACCATTTGTAGAGTAAATCCATGGATTGAAGATATCTCTGTCTCTCTGTGTCTCTCTGTGTCTCTCTGCCTCTCTCTCTCTCCCTCTACCTCTCTCTCTCTACTTTTTCCCTCCCTCCCTACTTCTCTTTCTTTCTGTCTCCCCCCTTTCCTCCCTCCCTCCCTCTCTGCCTCTCCCCATTCTTCCATTCCTCTCTCCTTTCCTCCATTTCTCCTTATTTCTCCTTCCTCTCCCTCTTTCCTCCTTTCTGGTTCTGCAACTCTTTCAAGTAAAACAAATAAATCTTTTCAAAAAAAATATGTGGGGGCCAGGACAATGGCTCAATTGGCTAATCCTCTGCCTGCAAGCACAAACACACTATATAGGTGCCAGTTCATGTCCCAGCTGCTCCACTTCCTTCCAGCTTCCTGTTTATGGCCTTGAAAAGCAGCAGAGAATGGTTCAAATCCTTTGGACCCTGTACCCACATGGGAGACCTGGAACAGGCTCCTGGCTTCTGACTTCAGAATGGCTCAGCACCAACCATTATAGCAGTTTGAGAAGTGAACCAGAGGTTGAAAGATCTTTTTCCTCTACTCTCCTTTTCTTTATAAATCTGTCTTTCCAATAAAAATAAAATAAATCTTTTTAAAGAAAAAATATGTGACCCGATCATCCCGCTCCTGAGAATAAAGCCAAAAGAAATGAAATCTGCATATTAGAGAACTGCCTGTAACTCCATCTTTATAACAGCACATGCACAATAGCTAAGATATGGAATCAAAGGAGATGCCCATTGATTGATGACTGGATAACAAGAATGTGGTACAAACGCACTATGGAATACTACATTGTCATGAAAAAAATGGAGTCAGCATTTTTGGCAACAAAATGAACCCAAGTAGGAATCATCACGGTTATCAAAATAAAACAATTCCCAAAAGACAAATATCATATGTTCTTCCTGATCTGTGACAACTACTACACCGAGCACACAAAAAAAATCACTTCTTTGAATAAGATCAGCCTACAGGGAATTAACTGCTGCATACAGCAAGAGTCTATACTCATGAGCAATAGTACGATTTCCATTTTCATTATAGCTTACTAATATTATATATAATTGTATTTTTTCTTTTTTTTTTTCTCCTTCCTTTTCTTGGTATGTCATGATAGCTTTAAATATCACAAAGTTGAGCTTGTTACTCTGAGGTGAATGAATGTATGTAATAATTTTAGAAAATATAATAATGGGAGAGGTATGAAGAAAGGGAGTATGGGGGTGAGACCCCTATGCTTCTACATACATATCACCAAAAACGTGAAATCTACTGATTTTATGTAAACTAAACATAAGAAGAAAAAAATAAAAATACATGAGGCTTTTAACCTAATAATTCCTCTTCCAGGAATTTATCCTAATAAAATAATCTAGATATTCAGATAAAGATTTAGCTACAGATGTATTATATCAGTTCATTTTTCATTAATATAACAACACACTTGGTGTTAGGTAACTTCATAAGGAAAAGAGGTTTTTTATTTCACAGTTCTGAAGGTTCCAGGCCAGGGACCAACACTGGGTGGCTCTGATGAGGACCTCATAGCAGACAGCAGCGTATGGGATAAGACAATGCACCCTAAGACTAGAGAAGGGGCAGTTTTTCAGGGGTGAGGACTGTTCTTACAGGAACTTCTCCTTTTCTTTACACATGCCATTGTGTATATACTCTTACATATATAACAGGGAGAACAAACTTCCCTTCCCTATAAACATGTGTTTACATAAGGAAAAGAGCCAGAGAGAATAAGAAGCAGAGAAGACAGACAAAAATAAATTATGAATGGAAAAACCTCTACTCTGCTTTCAATCAGTGAATAAAGCATACTCGTACCTGTTCAACACATGAGCATGCATTCTCATAATTTAAGTCTCAGAGTCAGGTTGCTCTGCATCCAGATAAGCTTCCATACAACAAAACCTCACATCGTGGGATCTGCTCCCTATTTAGTGGACATGCATGAATCCCTCCAACAATCACATGGAGTAGAGGAAATCAGTCATTACACAAGAGAGGTTCTCCTACCTTAACAGCCTCTCCAAGAGTTTGGTTTTTGTCAGCTTCCTCACTGGAGTGCAGTTCGAGTCTGTAATTTAACTCCTGTAACTGTTGGGCCTGTTCATTCAACAGCATTTGTGCCTGTTGCTCCCGAAGTAACGCATTATTGAGTTCTTCACATGCACTTTCAAACTTCTCATGGGTGATCAGTTTCTTTAAAAGGAGTCAAAAGCCATCAGTTTTAAACAACTCATTATATCATTTACTATGCAGAACTATATTTGAATTAGCAATATCATGCGAATTTTCTAAGCATCTGATACATAAAAAAAGCAGAATTAATTTCTCCTAATTTCAGAAATTAAGGTAACAATATCACCCTCGATTTTAAATTACAATAGGCCTATTTCCAAAGTTACCATTTTTAGTGAAATACAGTATCACAAAACTTGTTCCAAATTGTACAATAAATCCATAATACTCAGTTGAAATCTTCATACAGAAGCAGCTTTTACAAATCTTTATAAGTTCCTAGACTTTTCACTGGTCATCTAAAAGTCTGTGTCCAGTGAATGCTGTCACTGAGGTCTCCCTAGCAAAACATCTACTCCAGACCATGCCTACCTCCCTACTCGCACTGTCACTATCCCATCTTGATCCGCATGCTTTGTATTGCCGTGATCTAGAGTCACCTCATTCTTTTAATGGACTGTACATGATCTTCCACCATCCATACAGGGCAATAGTTTGAGCAGAGAATCCAATTTGGAAAATGTCTGGCACTTAGTAAATACTCAACAGTTATTTATTCAATGAAAGGATATTCATATATGAACAATAGCCAATCTAAATGCACCCCATAATGCATAACAGTGTGTATAATGTCATCTCTCTCTCCCTCCCTCCCTGTTCTTTCTCTGTCACTCTGCCTTTCAAATAAATAGATTAATAAAAAAAAAACTTAAAAAGAGAGAACACAAGGAGAACACATGATTTTTTTTTAGATTTAGATATTTCCAGAAAAGGAAATGCTCTGAAAAGTCGGGCTTCCTTGACCTGCCTAACTCAGAGCAACCGTTTGCCCTTGAAGGCTTATCTACTTGAAATAATAATTAACTTCAATAATTCATGTTATCATAGGATTAATAACTAATCTGAGTCAAGATATTTAATCAGCCTAGGTGCCCTTTGAAAAATGAATGAAGAAAATAAGGTATGTACTTATAACACAATGCTTTTTTTTCTTAAAAAAGAAAAAAAAAGAAATCCTCCCCTTTGTGGGGATATAAATAAATTTGGAGAACATTAGTTTAAATGAATCAAACTAAGCACAGAAAAGACCAGTACCACACACTCTCACTCATACACAACATCTAGAAGTCAGTGTAAGACAGTAGAGAGAAGCCCAGCAGATGCTTGGAAGAGGAACGAGAGTAAGAGAGAGGTTGCTCAAGAAGTTTAAAGTCACAACTAGACAGAAGCAATAATTCTGGAGTTTTACTGCAGAGCGGAGTGACCAGGGACAATGAAGATAAATTGCATACTTCAAATTAGCTACATGATATCTAAATGGTTCACAACACAGAAATGATATTTGAAATGAGGGATATGCACATAGATCTGATTTGATGATTATACAATATATGTACATTACAATATCATATTGTATCTCATAAATTTGCATAATTAAAATATGCCAAATAAGAACAAAACATATGCACATATACACAAAAGTTGCTACTGCCTGTTGCCATAAATATTAACACTGAAAGTTGCAAACTGACCAAAATATACACATGAAAGCATATTTATTCTGACATTAAGTCCTAAAAGTCACCTTCCCAAAGAATGAGGTACTAAAAGCTGGTTGCTAGTTTTAAGGAACAAACTGAAATTCATATTTGCATTGGCTGTTAATAGTTGTATACATTTTTGAAGCATCAGGGTCATTTGAACTCTGCTCTTAACCCACATTAAAAATGGCTATGTTAATAACTAACCCAGGTACAGCCAGATTATGTGCATAATAGAATTAATTATGTTTCTTAATTTGCATGTCTTGATCTAATGTTCTTTAGCATGTAGCCTTTCTTTCTCTGCTATATAAGGCACCTTAAAATAATACAGCTAAATCGTTGGTACAAGTTAGACAAATGTTAGACATTTCTTTGGAAAGGCAACTTGATTTTAAAATAAATCATTGACTAAAAATGCTTGAGATAAAAGAAAGGAGATGCTATTCCAGCCTCCCACATACACATAACACCAAAATATCAATCTCTTCCACTGGAGGCATTTTATAAGAGAAGTCTTCTGAAGAAAAAGAAATGAATGAGAGTTTGAACTGTGCTTCAACACCAAATATGGCGAAATCAAGTGAGAAAATCACAATTTCCAAGGCAGCTGGTACTCACCGAGTGCTGAGATTCATTCAGTTGCATCTGGAGACCCTGGGCTTTGTCAAGCTCCTTCTTCATCTCACTCACATTTCGTCTGAATTCTGTGACTTCCAGGCGCAGTGAGCGGCGCTCCACTTCAGCTGCATGCAGTCTTTGAGTAAATCCAAATATCTGCTTCTGTAATGATGCTGTGCTTTTCTATTATTTAACAAGAGCAATTTTACAAGGAGTAACTGCAGATCTAGTAATAAATCAATAGCAATGAACACCTTACTAAATTAAAACTTAGAGCATACAAACAAACAATACCAGCTGGTATTGAGACTCCAAGAAAGTTGTGTTTTTCATGTGACCAATAATTTAGCTTATTGCAAATGAACACCTGAAGAAATAATCGAGATGGCTAGCACATTGAATTAACTCATGTTGTGTCTCATACAATTCTGTTGATGCGTGCTTACAAAAAATTTAGAAAAAGGGCCACGGCTTTTAAGTTTTGTTATCTGGGCAATTTTTCAGAAATGTCTTTTTTATTTATTGTATGTATTAGGTTTACAGGAAAATGTAGATGCATTCACACACAACTCCTTTCAATTCTAAATAGCGCTGATGCAAAATTAAAGCTCTAAGTCCTAAGGTCACTTTGAAATGGAGCTGTGTACATACCATAATGGGCACATGACCACGCCAACCGTACTTGAGGGCCAGTGTGTTGGCTTTGTGAAGGCCACGGGCCAGCCTTTGAACCAGGGAATCCTTTTCCACATACGTGATACTCCGGCTGTTGTGCAGAGGTACATTCTCCATTGCCAGGCTGATTTTATCCATGAGTTTTGCAAAAGAATTTTTGGCTGCACCCACAAGCAAATGACCACAAATTCTGGAATTGGGATCTTTAAAGAAAAAAGAAAAAAACACAAAAATGTGAATTGTATCTTGTTCATTTCCCAACACTGCTGAACATGACAGAACTTTTTTTTCAATGACATAATTCCCACTCAACTGCAGTAACCCATATAAAAAGTCCAACTTAGATATTTTCACTATGACAAAAAAGCAGAAAACAACTCACCTGCTGAACAACATACCTGAAATAAAATCTGCATGTGTTTGCAGGGTGCCGGGCACACAAATAATTTAACATTAAAAATTATTCATTTAAAAAATAGTGACATAAACCCATTTTCTATCTGCAATTACCAAAATGTGTTTCTTTAATATTAGACCATTTATATTCTCAGACAAGAAAATATAATTTGTCTTATTCTAAGGCAATTAAAATTTTATAACTACAATTACTGATTTCCCCACAGGATTTCGGTAGTCATCCCTCTCATATAATGGACTTACAGACCCAGCATATTCAACATGGCCTGCTTACTGCTAGATTCATCGGCTCCAGAATTAATAATTGTGTTTAGTGTTAATAAATAAAATTGTCAGCCCTCTTTCTAGTAATTGGTATTCCAGATAATGGTTAATAGGTTTATTTATGCATTCATAAAAGTCATGTAATTTAGTTTTCCCACAGCTAGGCAGATCTTAGTCTGTCATTACTTGTCTTATGATGCTATCTGTATAAAATCACACATGATGAGAATACTTAGATTCAGCAGTACCCACTCCATATTTCAAATCTGCACTGTTGGGAGTTCCTCCATATTTTATCTTTGGGTCATGAGCACAAAAAGAAAATTTAGCCTGTTTTGCCCCTCAAAAAATGTCTTATAAACAGAAAGCAAATATAACCTTTAATAATGAAGAGCAACATGGAGAAGGAGCTCAAAACAGTGCTTTTCTGTCACACAAAAATCTGCTTTACAAGACCTTGCATACTGACATTTAAACTTAATTCCATTTGTTTTATTCTTCAATGTATAAAGGCAAGTAATAAATTAAAAATTAATGCAACAATAAGAATTCCTATCATGGATAATAGCATATCAGGAAGTAAAGACACATTGCCATATGTTCACTGAAAAGGAGGAATCCCAATGAAATTGTTAAATATACCCTGATAGTATGATACCAGATTTTCCACCACTGCCAATAACTACAATGCCATGATGCACATGAACAGCAGAATGCTGAACATTTTTTTACTGTTGCTGAAGGATTTGCAATAATATTTGGGAAAATGCACAGCTCACTGTTGTCCCCTACAGTCCTAAAACTTTTGCCACACTGTACAAAATGGCACCTGACGTACCACTACTGGAGTTCTTGATCTGTTGGCCATCAAGTCTGGGCTACCCAGACCTGTGTTGGGTGGAACCTTTAGAATGCCACATTGCTGCAGTTCACTGAGTCAGAAATGAGTTCACTCCCAGCTCAGCATATACTCATTCCTTTCCCTAGCCTTTTCCTCTTTAAACAAAATGGCGCTCAGTTGGACTCTAGCAGGCCGACTGGGCTGTGAAATCTACCCTTCTCCCTCACTGCCAGTCTGGGATCTGCTGCTCTGTCTCTGCTCCTGGTCAAATCAAACAGACCGGCAGGACGGACAGTTCTTTGTCTGGGTTCACTATCCAACCCTTCTCACTGCTGTGGCTCTACAAAGCTGCACACAGATCAGTGGCTTTGTTTCTTCCCACCTCTCCCGCAGCTGCTGCAAAACCTCCCTCCAATGCACATGCTGCTGATTCCCTCCCACAGTGTCAAATGCTCTTCCTGCTCAGCATGCCCACACAGGTCAGTGGCATTGCACCTTCCTGCCACTCCCACAGTCTGTCTGTGTACTGTTTGTCATTGCCTAGGCGGCCCTCACTCCCCTCTCCTGCCTTGTGCAGGCTTCAGGCAAAAGAATCCTAATATGCCAGGATCCTAATGTTTGCTCACACAATTGCATTCGGCCTTTAGTTCTGGCTTTCTTGCTAGGATCTATATAGCTGATACAGACACAGTCTCAAGTTTCTGCAGGTTTCTACTTATCTGTCTCAAGAGGTCCTGGTGGCTCTCACAGCATTCTGGGTGATCTGAGGTGAACTCTTGTTATTTCCTGGATCCCTCCCTTGGCTGGTTTGCTCCCCAATGGTGAGGCTTTGTGATCTGGGGGCTTTTGGAAGCCCATGGCTTTCCACAGTTTTGACTTCCCTTATGGGTGCTGGAAACCATGCCTTGTTCCTGTGGCTCCTAGACACTTGTGCCCTTTGGAGGACTTCCACAGAAGTCTGCTTAATCAGACTCCATTTGTATTAGCTCCAAATCTACAGGATTCATGTCCACAGGTTAAGCTTCCTTCCCATTCACTCATTCTCCTCTTGGGCTACAGGGTACAGGCCACAATTCAGGGCATTTTCAGCTGATTTTCCACAGGTTTTCCTCCTCCACACAGCTCTACCCTCCATTCACCTAATGCAACAACTTTCCTTCTCCAGTTCAACACAGCAGCCACTTTTCTCTTGCCACTCTTTCTCCACTCAAGGATATACCTTCCTACCTGACCAGCCATCTTGTTATCCAATAAGTTTAATTCTATATGCCATTCATTACAAACATGTTAAGAATTCCCAGGAAAAAAAGGCATACAATTATAATTAAAATATAATCCTTTGCTAATAATCACAATCATCATGTAAATTGTGAGAAATATTAAGTAGTTTTTATAGCAATCAGCATATAATATAGCTCACTAATGTAATGGAAATATTAATCTACAATATCATTACACAGGTCACTTGTAAATGAATGGACAAATAGTAAAATTCATTTTATTTATAATACTTAATATAAAATACCATTTTAGTGCCAAACATATGTACTCCTTGTTTCTCTAAAAACTTTTACTCCAATATTCAGGCAACTGAAAAATCACCTACCACATGACCCAGCAATCTCACTCCTCAGGATATATCAAAAAGAACTGATACATACACATGAGAAAGCAACCTGCACCACAGTATTCACTGCAGCACAATAAACAATTGCAAAAACATGGAAACAATCTAGATGCCCTTTGAAAGAGGACTGGATAATGAAACTGTACATCTACTCTATGGAATGCTACTTAGCTATCCCAATTGGGGACCATTATGCTCAGTGAAATGAGCCAATTCCAAAAGTACAAATATCATATGTTCACTCTAGTATAAGAAAACCTCCATCAAAAATACAAAACAAAAAATAAAGGTAAACAAACATATACTTATAATCTCACAAACAAAAATGTAATGGAGACCAGAGTACCACGTATCACGGAAAATCAACAGAATGCATGTCTACTATTGAATAAAAGTAGGCTCTCAATGAAACCTCTAAATATACACAGACAACAGAATACTAAACCCTCTGCCATTGCCTATACTAACAGTGTCATGATCTACATAAAGAGCAGAAAGTTTGGGCCAAGACTACGCTGATGGACTATTTTACCATGAAACACAGAAGACAAGGTGGTGGAGGGAGGAAGAAAGAACTATGCTTGCAAAAATTGTAAAACAGGGGAGAGTCTTCATACTCAGGAAGGCTGAGAAATATTCTACAAGGATAATCATCATCATCATCACAATACAGAACAGTATAGTACTAATGAGCAATGTTAATACTAGTAGTGCTATTAGAAAACACTGTTAACTGCAGTAAATTCTAACTTAGGGACCAGAGTTGTGCCACAATGGGCTAAGCTTCTCCTTGCAATGCCAACAGCCCAAATGGCAATTAGTTCAGTTCCCAGCTGCTCTCATCCCTTATAATGTGCCTTGGAAAGCAGCAGAAGATGGCTTAAGTGCATGGGTCCCAGACCCATGTGGATCTGAAAAAAGCTCCCAGCTTTAGCCTGGCCCAACCCTTTATTTTGCCACCATTTGGAGAGTGAAATAGCAGACAGAGATCTAGCTATGTAACTCTGCCTTTCAAATAAATAAATAAATAAAACTTTTAAAAAATAAATTCCAACTCATTACATACACTCAGTAACAGTCTGTCACCTCTTACATCCATCCCTCTTCCCTACATCCTATGTTTAATATTTCTCCAGTCTCTTCCATTCTTTTCAGATAATGATCATATTTCACCAGGCTACTGCAAGTCTCCCTTCTCTTATTTATTTATTTTTTTTAAAGATTTGTTTTTATTATTTTTTCATTGGAAAGGTGGATATACAGAGAGGAGAGACAGAGAGGAAGATCTTCCATCCGATGATTCACTCCCCAAGTGAGCGCAACGGGCCCATACTATGCCGATCCGAAGCCAGGAGCCTCTTCCGGGTCTCCCACACGGGTGCAGGGTCCCAAAGCTTTGGGCTGTCCTCACTGCTTTCCCAGGCCACAAGCAGGGAGCTGGAAGGGAAGCGGGGCTGCCGGGATTAGAACCGGCGCCCATATGGGATCCCAGGCGTGCTAGGCGGGACCTTAACCACTGCGCCACCGCACCGGGCCCTATTTATTTATTTATTTATTTATTTATTTATTTATTTATTTATTCATTTAAGTGTCAATAGTTACAGAGAGGAAGAGACAGGGAGAGAGATCCATCTACTGGTTCACTCCCTAGACGGCTGCAATAGCCAGGACTGAGCCAAGCCAGAGCCAATAGCTTATTTCAGGTCTCCCAAGTGGGAGACAGTGGCTCAAACACTTGACCATCTTCCACTGCATTTCCCAGACATATCAGCATGGAGTGGATCTAAATTAGAGCAGCCAAGACATGAACTAGTGCCCATTTGGGGTACTGGAATCAGACGCAGCAGCTTTACTCACAATGCCACAACACTGGCCCCAGCCTCCTTATCTTTCCAAAACACAAATCAAGTCTTGTGACATCCCTTGCTTTTAAGCCTCAGTAACTCTCCTCACATCCAGCAGCATATTTCAAAATCCTTAAAACAGGGTTCCAAAGACCTACAAGCCAGGCTTGCAAACTTTGCAGGAAACAACCTACTCTGCAATTTCTCATT